ATTTCATTTGAATAAAGAATATTGTAGGAAATAAAATTATTGATTATGTACCTTTATTTAATTAATAAATTAATATCATGATTAAATCTTTAGAAAATTTTACTTATTTCTCTTTCTACAAAGTAATTGGAATTCTACTAAAATCAATCATAGAATAACCTTCTATCTACAACTTATCTTTTATATAGAGTTTAAATATTAAAAATTCTATATTATTTAAGAATTAAAAAATTTATATTCTACATACCTAATTTTTAATTCTTAAATTGCTTAAATTCCATGCCTTTGAAACCTTCTATCTGCTATAGATATTTTTCCTAAGATCAAAAATTCTAAAACAAATACCTATCCAAACTGCATATAATCTATCTAACCATACTGTATTAGAAGAACTTTTTTAATATTGAGCAGAAACCAAGGAATCAATTCTTATAATTCTAAGTTTTAATAAAAATATAATCAAATATTTTTTCAACTCTACAATGATAGGAAAAAAAATTAAACTCATTTGTTGGAATTTCAATACAAATAATTGAAACCCTAGCAAAATAATTTCTATAGAGAATAACACTAATTTAAAAATTATCAATAATAATTTAAGAAATTCAAGAAAAAATAATTAAAAGAGAACCTTACATTTTATATATTGTCAAGATTCTATTGAAGATGAGCTATCACTATTAATTTACAAAGGCATTGCAGAGTAAAAGAGAATATTAAAATAAACACTCTGCAACATCTTTGATCACAACAATAATAAGATCATGACAAATACATCATTGTTAAGATTGTTACAAACTCAATGGATGAATAGACCAAAAAAATCAAAGGAATTGATAGTGACCTTTGACTCTTCAAAGTACAATAGTAGTAGAAATCATATTTATTTAAGATCTACAAATTTATTCAATAAATCATGAAAGTTTATCTTTTTAACACTAAATTCTGTCAATGACAAATAGATATCCATCATAGAAAAAATGATAAGTTAAATTCTAATACAATTAATATCCAAAGTGTGAAATTATCACCAATTGATAATGAAATTAATGAAAAGCAACTATCGGGCCACAAGGATTGGTATACATTTTTCTATAAAATATTAGAATACATATAGTGAAAATTATAGGAAAAGATATAAAATTGTATATTCTTAAGTCTTAATCAAAAAATAACTATTGATACAATTCAAAGTGAATAGTAGAGTAATTGAATAGTTAGCAAGATTATTAATAAAAAAAGACCTAAACTAAACTATTAGAATTTGAAGTGGTCAAAATAGAAAGATATGTACTACACAAATCTTTGACACAAATAATTGGCTATAAAAGGTAAAAAGGCATGTAGATAAGAATAATATATTCTATTTATAAATTATTTTCAACAACAAAACTTTGTGAGGTGTTGATAATAGATAAATTAATACTGCTATTGCAAGTATGCTTAAATCATAGGCTTGTGGATGGTATTTTTGAAATGGTTGTTGCTAACAACAAATAAGAAATAGTATTTTAATGTTTATGCTATGGTATAGAAGTATTTTAATGCAATTGTTTACATTCTTTGAATTCCAAGCATAAAATTTTAAGTTAATAAAAGAAGCCATGATAAATAAAAGAAATTTTATAAGGTTAATAAATTAGATATTTCATAAAAGAATGATTTGAAATCATGTAAAAAATATAAAATTAACAATATAAGCATTATCAAAAACAATAAAGCAATTGTATGAAAAAAGTTGGTAATAACTATATATTCTTCATAAGAAAGCAAGGTTAGAAATAATTACAATTATTTTGTCTGATTTTTTATATCTATATATAATATAGGTAAGTAGATAATTTTAACAATTTCATTTGATTTTTTTCTTTACACTTATGTCCCACTAGTAACATATATCTATTGTTAAATATATCTACTATTAAATATATCTAATCAGATCACAAATGATTTTATATATGTTTTCATATATATATATATATATATATATATATATATATTGTATCATATATTTTTGTAAAATAATTGCCAAAGGTATTCTGAGAGATATACTTAAATCAAAGAATATTCTATGACTAAAATTTTATTTAATTTAGAAATTTAATATTCTTTCCTTAATATTAACAAGTAAACTTTTCTAGAAAACTCCATTATAATGTTGTACATAGAATCCTTTTTGTAAAAATAACGTTTTACCGATGCAGTAACAACCATACCAATGTTTGATATTAAAACAATCATAAAATGCCAGACACGTACAGTCTCTTTTCACTACAAACTATACACAAAAAAATATTAAATAACTTATCAAATTTCTCATCTCATGGTCTCAGAGTCTCATAACCCATACAATGGTCAGCCAAAACTCTCAGCAGTGAATGACAAAGACCTCAGGTAGCACCAACCAGCATTCCTTCATTTCCACATTGAACTACAAGCTAGTAGATCTATTGTGCTTGCTGTCTTGCTTGTTGTCTAAACTTCATCAAAAAATCTCAATAATAATAATAATAACAACAACACGTTAGAATTAGTATCCAATTTAAACGACAACATGAGGAACTCAGCTCTACCAAGTGTCATTCTCTGGACCTAGGTCCACTTTCTGCAGGTCCCAAAACAGGACTACTTCAAAATATGGTGAATTCATTAGCTTCATGTGGCAACTACAAGCATAATCCTTGAGGTTCTGAGCTGCAGAAAAAGGCTCTTGCTGCGAGACGTGCAGCGGAGTGAGTGAGGCTGCGGTGAGCTCGAGAGGATAGAAAGCTACAGCAGATTCCCCAATAAAAGTGCCAGGTTCAGAAACCCAGAGATGTGTCGGAGCATGCTTTGGACTACTTGGGTGTCTCGTTCCTACTCGTTCGCATCTACACAAAAGTGTTCTGCGCTTCCTTACCACAGTTTTCTCCCATGCCGAGTTCATGCAACCAATGCAACCGAGATTCCCACTCTTCTGGCGGCTGATCAGTAGGCTTGTACGTGATCACTGTGTTAAACTCTGGGCATCATTTTGTCTGGGCTGTTGCAGGGTTTGCATCTGAGAAGCCGCCCTTGGAGACCCCCCCCCCCCCCTCCCCATTTCGAACTGGAGAATCTCATAGTTTTGCCTCGATGATTCACCATGTGGGGTGACACCTTAGGATCCGTAGATCTGTAAAGCTCGACCTGAGCTAGATCAGTTTGCCTCGATATCTCCTTGCGCGCAACCATGTACGTTTCCCTTGGGAAACCTCAATAATGCGCAGTGAGTCTATTCGAGGAACTAGTCAAGGCCTCTTCAATCATATGTAGCTTTAGCCTGGCTGGTACTGATTCTAGCTGTGGTTTTGGATTTGGGCACGGAATTATCCACAAAGAGTTGCAAGGATGGATTATTGCCACTTCCGGACTCTCGCTTTGGCAGGGTTGAGGTAACACACGAGCACGCCCGCGCGCGCGAAGACACATCAGAGTTGAGTGACAGTGGCTCTAGACTGAGTGAGGAATTTTCCACGGCATCCATTCCCGACCTGAATGCCAATCAACACGCATGATCCATGATTCAATGTGTCCAGGGCCCCACCTCCATCCTGCTCTGGTTGTCTGGAGATGGGCCTTCACCATTGCGCTCGTCAATTTGACTTGTTTATGCCTGGACATGCATTTGGTGACCCTTGAATGGGGTTGGTGCTGCTGCGGCTCTTTTCGGTGATATTACAAAATATAGAATTCAGTTATGTTTGGTGCTGGGTTCTTCCTCTCTGAGCCCTGCGGCTTCATTATACGAGACAGGACGAGGGCCCACGTCATATGTCCACGAAGAGTGTATCAGCTGTTAGTTTATCCTCTGCTGTTCGGTCCTTTGTAGTGTTTTACTTCTAAGGTCGTTATAAAACTGCTATCGGTAGAAAGGAGCTGGTGGTCCCAGTTGCATTCAGTAGGGGAGGGGGGAATTCTCAAACTCTGCCAGGCTTGCCAGCCTGTAACTTGGAGGGAGAAATGGATATGTTTAACGGGGCTGGAACTTTCGTCAACTGAGGACCACGCGCTGTTGCGTTGGTCTGCATCCACCTTTCAATCACAAGTACATGCGTTGTATGAACGTGAGGAAGGCTCCAGATTCACAACTACAGTGCAGTACATAGAAGCACAATCTGGGACCAACAGTGCTGCTCTTTTCTCGGCGTTAATTCCACAGCTAACTTGTGACAGGGACTATGCATACTTGTACCAAGAGCCAAAATTGTTTTATCTCTTGGGCGACAGAGATCTGGACAGTAACTGCCATGGTTAACTAGTTCCTTTGAGGAGGCGTGTCCCTTGCCATATTTAGCAGGGCGGTCATGACTTCAAATTTCATAATATTTAGTAGAAATGGCCTAAGTCCTTATCTACTCAGTAAAAGCTCTCGCTGTGGACGTTCAAGTTGTGAGGAAGTCTTTCTAATCAGGAGACGAAGTTGCAGCCACTTCAAATTCAAGTTTTATATCTAATCAACATTTGAGTTCGGTTTCCTTCGTGTTACATAAGGTTATAAGAAATGAGACTATAATTAGTCACCATGTATCAAGAAAACAATGAATCACGCTCTCCAAAGGCGACCCAGAGACTAACCTCCCGACAATACTTCTAATTGTAACGCCCGGTGATGAAGACGATTACCACAAAAACTCTAACAGTATAGAATTAAAGTGCTCCAAGGCTTATAACCTTGTGTAACACGGAGGAAACCCAACTCAAATGTTGATCAGATATAAATCTTGCCTAGATGAAGCTCACGCACAAAGCATTCAAACTGATGTGAATTTTGATCTCTGTGGCACACTGTCCATCCTTGAGTACAAGCAAGCTATGCCTGCACCGTTGTGTAAGCATCGACAGAAGTGAGTGGAATCATGGACGGTGGCAGATGCAACATATGTGTCAGACATTCAACTACGAAGAAAACTATATTACTCAATAACATGAAGGGTCCAAAAACCAAGCAGACACAGACAGGCCAAGCCAAGCTGTGAGAGTTCGATGTGAACGAAGACGAGTTGAATTTAAAGAAGGTTACGTTTCAACAAGTACGTGTGCTCTGAAAGCCTTCGGCACAAAAGTCGACTAATTTCCAATCGTCTGAATTGGTAAGCACACCACACATAAAATTAAACTGGCGTCAGTGAGCATTGTGGAGTCAATGGTCTAAAAAGCTGTACAATAAATCTCAGTTAATTCTAAGCCCCACCAAGTGAGGAATGCTCCCCTGACAGCAATTGAACAGCACAATCCTAAGCAGCATGCCCTGGGTCTAATAGCTGATCTGCATGAGATGTACTGCAATTCCTAATGGAGGTTAGTAAATTGAATCTAAAATCTTACATGATGCTGCATCAATCATGGCGTCCTGGCTAGCTCAATTGCTGTGAAGTCGGACGAGAAATCAGTGGAGTGTATATGAGCTGTTGGAGGATTGTACAGGTCCTGCTAATGGTCTGCAGGACGTGATCATAGATCACCGTCGGAGGCTACTTCATCAGCTGTAGATCTCGTTCAAGAATGAATTGTACGAGTCACCGCTTTCCAGCACGTCCAGATGAGTTCCGAAGTCAGCGAGGTTCTCGAATGTGTCGAGAAAGGAGCTGCTGAACTTGTGGCTATCCTTGAACTTCGACGTGCCAGAGGTTTGATGTCCCTCGGTGTCGTCGGATGCGTGCTCAGCGGAAGCCACGTCGGAATTCCCTGAGCTTGGAGAAGAGCTCGCAACAGCACCGATCTTGCCCTGCAGTGGCTCTGTCTCAACCTTGGTCAGGACCACTTGCTCCAGGTGACCATTGCCGATCTCGATAGAAGGACTCACTTTGGAAGAATTGGACCTGGAATCAGCAACCACAGGTTTTGTCACAGCAGGCCGACTGACAGGAGGACGACTATTACTCACGAAGGTGTTTCCCGTCTCGAAGCCACTGGTGGTTGGGGCGGCGCCGGTGATGGTACCCTCTCCTTCTGTTGGCGTCACGCTCGGGAGCTTGGACAGTAGAGCTTGCAAACTTGACATAGATGGGAGCAGGTTCGGGATGGTTGGACTCACCCCACCTTGTGGACTTGTGTGCCCAGTGTTCAAGGATTTGGGCGGATACGGACATTCAGGCCGGTGGTGAAAGCTATCGCTGCCATTCATATACGAGCAGTCCTTGAAGCTCAGTGAGAGTGGCTCCGATTCTGGGGGGCGCTTCACTCCTAGAACGGTGGTGTCACTGGAGGAGCGCCAGAGCTGTGGACCAATCCGTGGCGACAAGAACTGGTCGATCGACCGAGCAGTCAAGTGGGAAATCGACGTGGGTCTGTCGACTTCAGGGGTTGTCATCCAGTTGTAACGATCAGAGGGTGGGGATCCATCGCTGGTAGATCGCTTCTTGCCGGCACACGACATTGGATGGGGAACAAACACACCAGGGATGGATTGCAGATAGTTGAACTTCCTTTGCAGGTGGAGCACAAAGTTCAAGTCCTCCATTATCTGGCGCAAAACCGAACCAAAAAGCCTTGAAAACATAGCAGTTCTGACACATCGATATTCCAGTGTCGGCGCAAGTATGAACTAACAAAATGAAAGAACAAGCAGTAAGTCGAACTCCCTCACCAAATCAAGCGACAGGAACAGAGAAAGGAACATACCTTCTTCGTAGAACCCAGCTGAAGAACACCTTCCTGAACTGCCACAACTGCAATGGTCTGGATTCCAGACTTGAACTGCGCTTCCCATGTGCGTGGATGCTGTACTAGGCAAAGTTTTCGCATGTAAGTTCAAAGAAGACTAAAAACCTAGGGGCTATAAAGTACGTGACTTTCTTAAAGTAGCCATGGCTATAAAACTTCTTGAAATAGGCATTCTATGCTATTACAGAGCGAAGGACTTACGGGTTCAAGGGTGCTGTGCCATGGAGCGAGGAAATTGACCTCGTGCTCTACCGGTTCCCGGTAAATCCACTTGTGGCTGCTGTCAGCGGCGACCTTCCCCATCAAGCTAAGAAAAACCAACATCCAAAAACTTATTCGACTGATGTTCAACCTTCACATACACAGTAGTTGACATCGTTACGACGCACCATGGAATATGTGGAGGATGACAAAAGAAGAGATTTCAAGGTCAAGAAGTGATAAGTACCCTTCTCCGTAGTTGTAGACCTCATGAGACATTTTGAAGAAAAGCTCAGGGCTCATCGCTTCACATTCATCATCGCTACCTCGTTGCTGTGGCTGGGTAGCTTGAATGAAAGGGAGTCCTCGCCTAGTATGCTTCGCTGCGTCAGCAGCACATGCTGAGAAGCTGCAAAAGCCGTCCTCCCACACCAAAATCCTGCACATCGTGATCTTCCTCACCGAGGGTCGGGCTTGCCATAGATGTGCTTAAGATTCGCAATTCTTAGGCTATTTCAAGGTGACGATCATGAGTTGTATTGTACGAAGTATTAAGTAGAGCTCTAAAATCCCTGGGACAATGCGCACTAAGAAAAGAAAGGTTGCATACCAGTTGCGTTTGTTGCCCTTGGATCTGTCCATGCCGCCGTCAGTTTCCCATCTGCAACAAGAGCCCCAATATCATGATAACGAGATTGAGCTTCTCTAATCCAAGGTCCACGACTTGAGAAAGCCAATATTCACTGCACTCGACCTCTATCGTCCCACCACATTCTCCCTCCCAGCATTGTAACTGTGCATCCAGGTCCTCCAATGTAAGGCTTGCCACCCAAGTGGACTACCTGGGCACCAAATTAACTTCTCCAAAGAGTTGACTACTGTAGACGGCAAGCGTGTGAGTAGTGCACGCGACAGAACATTGGAAATTTGAGATCACCCAAATCTACTGTCACGTGACTCGCAGCTAGTAACTACTGATTTCTCCTCAGACCCCAGTAAAGGTATTGACAGTGGAGATCGGAATCTCCGACTCTAATCTACCCCTACTTGTTGATATCCTGACACGGCTTAAGCTCAGAGGCGACAAGCAAACCCTGACAAGTGTCTGATCTTTTTTAGACGGAATAATAGAAGAAACTGCTTGCTACCATGATGTGAAATTGCTTAGTTTTGGCTGAACTGGGGCAATCCTGAAGCTGATAGCAGCCAAGGTTTACGAAAGAATCTAGCTGATGTTTCATGAAGATATCAGGTGGATGTTTGCAAGCAGAGTCGAACGAAGAGAACCAACAAAGGATAGGGTAGAGGAACGCACTGAGGGGGGGGGTAATTGCGCGGCAAGATGCGCCAAAAGACTGCATAAACCCATTGCGACTCGGTGCATATCCTGCGGAGAGTATGCTGGAGCAGGTGGTTCATTGTCGGCAATCCCTGCCTGACGTCCATTCTGGGGATGTGATTAATTGTTACAGTTCACGTAAACAGAATGGAAAGTAGCCTCACGGTTCCCAAACTATCCGCCAATCCACAAACCAACTCCTCTCAAAACATTGGCATCGGAGAGATTTGAAGACTGCAATTGCTGCCGAAAACTTTGAAGTGTTTTCAATGAAAGAGAATTGTGTCTCTAGGCTCTAGCTTCAAGTCGTGGGATCAAATTCCGTGGAGATTCGATCCAAATCTCATATGAAAATCAGGCAATCTGAGTGCATCTTCGATAGAGTTAACCGAAAAGTATCCAAAACTTCGTTTCCTTGAGCGGACCAAAAACGAAGGTAGGGAGATTCTCAAAACACTATGGAGCACCTCCGAATGAATGAAACAAATCACACTCGCCAATGCAGGTCGAGATTAGTGCAACCAGTACATCTAACTGCGAAATCTAGCTGCAGGTAGAGTAGCTTTGAAACTGTAAAGGAAGGATGAGCGATTCAGGGGTGGCCCAAAAATAGACGAGGTTTGAGTGACGCGTTTCCAAGCATGAATCGAGCCACTTGTTGCAGCAAGGGCTGGCTTTCAATATCGATACAGCGGCAGCGCCATACTGGTACTGAACTCGAATTAGAACTAGACCAGATTGATAAGTTGTGAATAGCCGTCGTCTATGCAAACGAGTGGGAACCAAGGTTGGCTCACCAACGCGTTCCAGTAAAGTCTACTCTTTCAGCGATGCCAGACGCCGGTATACTTATGTCTTTTCCGTATTAAGCACTGCAATGACCTGGCTGTACCCGCTCAGAACTCCAAGTGTGCAACAGTCAACGATAATGCTAAAATAGAAGGGAAAAAAAAAAAAAAAAAAAAAAAAAGCATGCATCAGCTCCCAAGAAACTCTGGTAGTTCTCAAGAAACACAAAGCTGTGCGCCTCTCCGACAAACTTCACAGTACCGGTACAACCAACGAAACGTAACGTCCTGCTCGCATCTGCGCTATTCACAGAACTATTCGATTCAAGCCAAATGAAGACTCCTTGTAAGCTTGGCAGTCTTCTGTCTGTCTCCAAGGTCTGAAACCAACTGCGGGTAAAAGAATCCTCACCCCCTTGCAACCAGTTCCAGAACTACCTCTATCCAGCACCGCGACAAAATTCAACCCTCAAAAATGCTCCCAAGAAGCCCACCCCTCGGTGATCCGACACAGCATCACTCTCACCCGCACACCCCACACCACTGACGCGCCCAAGACATTTACGTCTCGCCTCTCCGTCAGCTCACATCCCACACTCGGAATTCAACAGCCCTCGGCTCGATCCTTACCAGCTGCTCCCTGGCGAACCCAAGCTGGACTTCCGCAATGACACCCGCAAAGAACTCATAGAAACCAACATTCCACAAACCAACGCATCCGAACCCGCTATACACAACATCCAGCTAGCAACAAGCTATCGCTCAACCGCATCGCGCACCCAACTTCATCATCAAGATGGCAATGACGCTTACTAGACCAACACCACCCTCTGGCCTTTCCCCGTGGTTCTCTCTCTCTTGCTCACTCACTCGCTCTTCCTCCACCCCTACTACGACGACGACAACGACAACGACAACGATCACGACTCAACACTGGAAGGAGGATTTGGTGATGCATGTGGATCAGGTTAGCAAGCTAGTGGAAGAGTGAACCCCCCCTGCATCGCTCGCCAGTAGCGACGGTGCGAGCAACGTTACTGTTGAAGAAGAGGAGAGATAATCCAGAATAAGAGCTCATCTGAGATGGCGATGGAATGGATGGATCGTCAAGTGGAAAAAAGTGGGGTTAGTCTCGTTCTCTCTCGTTCTCGCTCTCTCGCTGTCTCGTAGTCGGAGCAGGGAAGGGAGAGAGCAAGCACCAGGCGCGGTGGGAAGGATGCGACGCTGGTGCAGCTTATAAGACGCCGACTGATGAGGAGGAAAACTCTCTCGCTCGTCTACCATTCCCCTCTTCTCTCTCACTCACTGCTCTTCTTCTGCTTATTAATATATTTATAATATTATTATTATAAGCAGCGACGGGGTTGCCCTTCTACCGCGCGGTAATACCCACCCCCACACCCACCCCCACACCCACCCCCACCCCACCACCGCTGTCCTCGGCCACGTCACCGCGTCAGAGTGGGGCTCCTCCACGCCGCGACGTCGTCGTCGTCGATAAAATCCATTTTTTGTTCAAATGGGTGCCGCAGTTGTGGTTACGGTTGCGGCAGGCGGCGTTTGGGTCCGCGGCGAACACCTTGCGGTGTAGCGTCATGTGGCTGCGGCGTTTTGGTCGAGTTTAGGGTGTGGAGTAGTGAGATTTATGTGAAGGTTGGGATTAACTCATCGTATTATTGTCTAGACTGATGATCTTAATTAATGACTTCGGTGATGTTATGAGTGTTAGTAACAGTGATTGTCTGTTGTTAATGGAATTTTTTACTAGAACATGTGTATTTTAGTAATTGGTTTATGTTAAAATTAAGTTGTTGAATTAAATTTGTGATAAAGTGTGATTCTCATGGCAATGGCGATTTTTTTGTTGAAGGAAAATAAGATGGTAAAATGGAGGAGGGGAGATTGAATGAGGATTTAGTTTTAATATTTGGTGTATGACCAAGAGGAGTGATGTAGATGATCATAATTTATTTCATTTCATTTCATTAATTGGAAATAAGTAAAATAAGATGTCTAAATGAAATGAACACATCAATAGTTGGAAATTGGAAAAGAGCTAGATTTTATTAGTTATACTTATTGTTGTGGTACTTATTTTATAAATTATGTTTTAATTATAATAAAGACTTAAGTGCATACATACTGTTTTAGATATCTTTATGAATAATATATTTGCAAGGACTTGTAAAAAAGTACCAAATTTGTTGATCCAATTTTTCTTTAGTTTACTATTTTATTTCGAACTTATGCAATAGAGTAAAGAAATCATAAAAAGTATGGCTTGATCTAATTATATTAAAAGAACTTAATAAATAAATGCATGATTATGTTACTAATAAAATAAATTTGAAATCGGTCTAAAATGAATTATATTAAAACCATATTATAAAAATAATACATCAAATCACATTCTCTTGATTATTTTAAAAATAAAAGCCCCAAAGGAATATGTTCCATAAAAATATAGCTCAAGTCAGACTAGATATTAGAATATTATATTTAAGATATGTAAATATTTTATTATATTTTTCAATCTAATTATTGTGTTATAAATTACTATTATTGTAACTTCAAAATAATCCAAAAAATCCCAAGAATTAAATATTATGATAAAAGTTAAATGTCATGATAAAAATATAATAATTTTTATTAAATTTGTGAGAATAAAAAAACCATATATATATATATAGAGAGAGAGAGAGAGATATATGATCATTTAGTACCAATTTTATAGAGAATTAATATGTAAAAATGACTACACATACTTAGACATCCTAGACATTTGTTTGATACATTTTAAAATATAATAAATTGATTATAAGTTTTTAGTAGAAAAATAAATGTGTTATCAACAAAAATATTAATTGTTACTACCATTGAAGTAGGTTTGATTAATATGTTTATAAAAACCAAATTATTAGAACTTTTTAATACTATAATTTACAAATTAATGAATGATTTATATTGATATATTTACATACTTTATTATCTTATTTTTCATTAAAAATAGGCATTAGCTCAAATATTAATAAGGAAAGGTTTTATAATAAATTATATAATATATTTGATACTTAATGATCATCAAATTATATTTTTCCTTAGTATGAATATGTATAATTAGATATTGTTATACTATATTTTTTGTTGTATATATATATACATACATACAACAAAATTACATATAACAATATATATATATATATATATATATATTACTAAAACTTAATACTATTGATACTTTGTGCAAGAAATTATTATTTGTATGTATCAAAAATCATGCATTGCAAAGATTGTGCATGCTGGTGAAGTAATTATGAATTTTAAATAAGTATATTTTTTTAAATAAAGTTATTTTAATGTTTTCATATTTTTTAGTACATATACATTGTATTGCTAATGCCGTATACTTTTTGCTAATGCCACCACAATGTACCATCCACCACATACAGCTACAATTATTGCTATTGTTGATGCAATATGTCACCCAATTGCCATTTTTTTATTCATTAATAAAATTTCAATAAAAGAATTTTTTGATATTTCAAGTTATGTAAATATTTGATTGAAAAAAGTTATTAATATTTCAAATAATGTTGAAAAGTAAAAAGGTCAACAATAATTGTATAATCACTGAATTATATCCTACAAAATAAAATAATTATTAATACAAGATAAGCTCATCTGAATAAAAATATAATTTATTCTATTCATTGAAAAGGATTTCCTCAGTCTGAATCTAATCTTTATCAATATGAGATCTGTTGATGCATCTTGAAGAAACAAAAAGTATCAAATGAAATGTGCCCATATAATGTGTAAACTTGTTTCAATATGCATATATTACTGATTATTAATTTTTAAGCATTGCATTAGTGAATTAAGAAAATTTTCATATTTAGAAAGCTTTCCAGGGAAGTTTCTACAATGCATCTAGGGTTAAAATGTTGTATATACTTCAAACTGCCAAAAAACTCACAGTTGCATTTATTGAACATATTGTTTTACATGTTTTGAATATCTTTTTTTATTGTTGTAGATTTTCCCACTTTATTTATCTATTTTTTAGCCAACTGATTCACAAACTGCTGCACATTTCACTTGTGCCCTTTCCTCACTATGCTTTCCAGTTTGGGGTTTTGGTGCTTGTTATTGATTTATTATAAGTATAATTGAAAACAAAAAACAAAAACAAGGAACCTGCATTACATTTCACTTCTTATGCAAGATTGCCTATTATTGGGGCTTTCCTTCTCTCTGAAGGTAGTCTAACCCCATCAAAGACTTCATTTCTATTATTAATTCAATTCAGATTTATTTATATATTTATAATGTATTGTAAACTGAAACTTGGCTTTAGGATGAGGGTACTTAATTTTCCCCCTTTTGCGAGGAAAAAACAAAGAAAAAAATATTTTAAAAAGTAAGTTGTCAGAGTCTCACATTACAGGCTTAGGACATGCAATGCTTGTAGTAGGGATCAAGTGCCCATTCAATGAATGGCAGGGTAAAGCAGCCCAAACAAAACACACACAACACAACAAAACTTGCCCACCTTGCAACAAAAGAGTTACTTCTTTACTATGCATTTTTTTATTTACATTTTTAAAACAGAAAAATTAATTAATTAATTAATTAAAATGGTAATGTTTGTATTTTTGTTTTTTTTGGTATCAAGGTTCTCCTGCATCCAGACAAAACCCTAAAAAATGCCATTCTTTTTGTCATTTCTCTAACCTCAAAATTGAATAGTTTAAAAATATGGGTATTGTGGATGAGAATGTGTTAGATTCATCCATGGATGATCACCAGCATTCATCTATGAAGATGTTGTGCGTTCACAGCAGTTGAAGATGAGTGCCAAATCAGGGAAGTTACTTTGTACAGATTGTGTGCTATCAAACAATGGATGGAGTCATTGGGCTCCATAAGCTTATGTGGGAGGGGCCTTGGCAAAGGGACGGGGTTACTTAATGAGCTCTTTTTGGTATTGTATTATTATAACTGTTTTGATAAGACCCTTGAACTCACTCTCAAGTTACTTTGTACCCCCCACCCACATCCCCTTTGCCCCCATTATGTCAACTCTCGCAAATTGTCCCCCAATGAAATTAATAACCCCTTGAGTTGGGACAAATACCCACAAACCACATCATTTCAGTAACTTTATGAGGAGTTACTTTGTACAAGATTTGGGGTTTCATAATGATCAAATTGATAAAAGCAAAGTGTGATGCAACATCAAATGTGATGATTCTACTTTAAAGTTTCACATTGGGTAGAAAAAGAAAAAAGGAAAAAAAAAGATACTTTCTTGTAAATGTTGGAAGAGTCCAACATACTTGTATGTATTTGAAACTTTTTTATAGTATTCCATCTTACATGTTATTGGAATAGAATATCTTTGAGAGGATAGAGAAATTGAATCAAAGTTTGTACATGTAAATGTGAATGAAGGTATTGGAATTATGGTATGAATTTAAGGGCTTCCTCAAGAACAAAATTGGCTTGTTTCCCTGTGGGACATATTTTGGGTGTTTGCCTACAAATTTTTATTCTCTCTTTTATAATTAATATTAATATTAATGTTTTCATTTGATTTTTTCCTTTGTAAGGTACAATTATCTCCATTCACATCTTCATGACATGGCATGATTTCATACCTCCTGATGCTACTACTCCTACTCCCATTCCAAAAAAATAATCATATGATTACACTATATATACTTTCCTTTGCAAAAAGCCATAATAATGAATATGCCTGTAGAGCAGGGTGTAGGCTCTTGTAGAAGTCAAAGACATAGTCTTATGCTTCCCAACAAACAAACAAACAAACAACCAATCCCATGTAGTACCACGCACTCTACTACTACTATTATTACTACTTGAACTTTCATAGTATCTGTACCAAAAGAAAAGGAAAAAGAAAAGAAAAGACAAGAATAAATCCATAAAGAAATGTAAAAAACAAGAAAGAAGAGGTAGGGGACATGGAAATTAGGCATTTAAGACCCATCACCGTGTCCCCCCTTTTATTTTATTTTTTATTTTTTTATTTATTTTTGTTTCAATATGCAGTTGATGTACTTTTCTGGGGTTTGGGGATGCTATGATATGATTTGATGAATGTCGATGAACGTGATTCATCCAAAGTATAGAGACCTTGCAATGTGAGAATTTCTTTTTAATCTTGTAGTTTCATACATAATTAATATTTTGTTCTTTTTTGGAGAAAGAAAAAGAACAGCAACATACAACTCTTTGCCAACTACAAGTATTGATGTGAGCTATATATGATTATATAAGTAT